CCCACATCATAAGACTTCCTCCAACTATCGCCATGTACTTCCTGGTACAATGCCGCTGCGGGATTAGTCTACCTCCAATCCCTATCACAAGACTCCCTCTAGCTACGACAAGATACACAAGAACTACAAAATACGCCCGGGGGTTGCTCTACTTCACAAACTATCATATTCATGACTACGAAGATTTCAGACCACGCAACAAAATGCTCGATGAATCAAAACAGCACACCAGGAAGGTATTTATAGACCAAAGAAGTGGTGCACATGGACCGGGAGCACAAACAGAGCACACCAAACAAAGGACACAGTGAAAAGACAAAATTCAATGAAAGAGGACTCAGGCGTGAAGGAACAGTACTCAAGAACGAGCATATTCGGAAGAATATACCAACACTGTACAACTCATGAACAAATAACATTTACTCTCAACCACAACCATACAACTACATCTGACAATAGCAGACTACCAGAGAACATGCCAAGATCACAGACTACCAGAGAACATGCCAAGATCCTGTATCCGAGTTCTTTTTGAATAAAAGAACCCAGGTATATACTCGGGGACTGCAATAGGAGAGGTTTTCAGTTCTTTGAACAACTCAGATTCAAGACCCTCCAACTCTTTGTTCCAAATAGAAAGAGGCTCGGGGGCTACACTCAGTGAGTGCACTTTTTCTTCAAAAAGCGCACATCACTCAGAAGATTTCTTCAAGACAGCAGTTTTCAAACAAACATAAGATTCAAGACCCTCCAACTTTTTGTTCCAAATAGCAAGAGGCTCGGGGGCTATACTCAGTGAGTGCACTTTTTTCTTCGAAAAAGCGCACGTCACCAAGAAAACTTCTTCAAGACAGACCACTTTAGGGCTTCACGACAAAAAGAACCCGGACCGAGCTGTATCCAAGTTCTTTTTTATAAAGAACCCGGGTATATGCTCGGGAGCCCTTCGACGAAGAATCTGAGCAATTTCAAGACAAGATCCTCCAGCTCTTTGTTCCAAATAGCAAGAGGCTCAGGGGCTACACCCAGATGGGTGTACTTTTTCTTCAAAAAAGCTCAAACCACTCGAAGATCCCAAGAAGCGCTACACGGTTTCGCTCAAGAAAGCACTCGAACGACGCTTGTTTCTACTCGGCAAGACTTGAAGGAACAAGACGAGGCTTCCAGAGCTCAACCATGAAGTGCTCGGGGGCTTGTTGGTGTGGGACCCACAGGATACCCCGCAAGGAAGGGAGAAGATCTAGTCTAACTAGGATTCTTTCCATGTAATCTTAGTAGTAGTATTCTATAATCCTACTAGGAACTCTCATTGTAAACCGACTAGGACTCTGGACCCCTGACTATATAAAGGAGGGCAGGGTTCCTAGAGAAGGGGGACTTTTACAACACAATCAATCCAACGCAAGGGCTAACGCCGACTGGACGTAGGGCTATTACTCGATCACGATCAAGGGTCCGAACCAGGATAAATCGACTGTCTCTTGCGTTTACCGTCGAGTTCTGCAAACGCTGAAGCCCGAACAAACTGCCCCGGGTACCCCCGTGGTAGGCTATCGTTGGTGAAACATTGACACACATATACAAGAAACATGGCAGAGGCCGAGAGGCTAATCTTGAGCTCCAAGTGAAGGCTCTAGTTGTGAAGGCGCTGGAGGAGCAAGGACGGTCTACGGAGCCATAGACATTAATGGTGCCACCGGGAGAACTGGCATTAGTTGGTAGCCCTCCAGAAGTTCCTAGCAGCCAAGGTTCTACTACAGCCACAACCCCCGTCGATCGCATACGGGAACCAACTAGTTGCACCTTGGTATTTCTCAGCGGCCAGTAGAACACTGTGATGGAGGTGGCAACAGGTGTGGCACATCCTCCCAGTGGCTTACACCACAATAATAAGATACCGCCGAACTACACTAGGGTCGAGGTGCATACCGTGAAGCCCGAGTTCATGCAGTGGAGTTTAGACTACGCAACTCCCGAGGGGCTGGTGTTACTCGGAGACATAATGGGGCAGTTCATCCTCTGACACAAATGGGACATTATATTGACTACTTCTTCGCCGCCTCCCCCTCGCTCAAATTTGGAGCGAGTTGTTGAGGACGGGAGATATTTTCACTGTCTCGTGACCACCACATTCCTGAGATGCCACATTCTTCCCTGTCTCCTAGCGAGCATGTGTCTGATAAGCCACAACCTTCTCCAGCTCGTCCTGACCAAGTGCATGATGAGATGCCACAGTCTTCTCAACAAGCGCAGCCGATATATGAACAACGAGTGCCTCCTGAAGAAGGTGATGCACAAGAAGATAAGGACGTGTCTGAATGGGAACTTCGAAAGAAGCATCCAATCACCATAAGGCCAATTTATGTTCCAATGAAAGACGTCTCGTTGGTGCACAAGTGGTATGCCCATGACCAGTTCAAGCCTGAGAACCAAGTTAAAAAAGTCCCAACACGGGCTTCTGAGGAGGCCGCCACTAGCAAAGTCCACCAAACAGCAAAGAAGTATCCAAATATTGATGCCATCAAATGGTCAAAGGATTACCCAGAAACATATGAAAGAGACAAGCCCTTCCTACCAAATCGGGACATCCAGTGCCTACCACTTGGAATGAGAAGGTTTTATGATTGGTACTTGTGTGTTCTCCTAACGAGCATAGACCTCGTACAAGCATGCTTCCCCACCAGCACATTTGGAAGCCCAGCCGGGAAAATTATCTTTGACTTTAATGACATGCAGACATGCTTTCACCTCGAGAGCAATGGAAATGAATCTAATTCACAGTGGTGCCTGTAAGTTCTTGCCCTCCCGATATGATATGAATGTAATCTTTGGATTTTGTTGTAACTAACCCATGCTGTGGTTTGTAGAATGCAAGTGCATATTGTAAAAAAAATGTCAAGTGTGAAAGCTGGGTATATAGACCCTCAAGCTATAGCACAAACAAAATTTAATTACCCTAGATAGTGGAAACTGAATGCCAAAGAGCTAGCTGCTGGAAAGACCCTTCGGGAGAAAGATGACATCCATGCGAAGAAACTAAGGCAAGAGTCCCTTAAGGTTTCGGCATACATTGTCCTGGCTTTTAAAAATCTCTAACAACACTTTATTATATGGCTACCATACAACTTCGAGTAAGTTCAACTCTATACTTAAAGCTTTGTTCGATATATTTTATTCAATGCAAAAGAGCTTATCTAGTTCTATGATTAAATTCATGCAGCAACCACTAGATTTGTATAGGTGTCGATGTCGGGAGGAGCATGGTATGGGTCTTTGATTCAATAGATAGGGACCCGATGACATACAAAGACTTCATATCGATTCTCAAGATGTATACATATCAACAATCCTCATTAACTTATATGTTTGTATACATACTTATAACGTTCACTTTTGGATACTAACAAGTTGCATTTGCTAAAATAATTCGAACAGGGCATTCAGGTTCTATGTAAATAAACATCACGGAAGGCATATAGTAAGGAAGGAAAGGCTGGCTATAAAAACACTATGTGCGGTAAGTGTAACTTACTTTAGTACTCCATTACATGGCTGTTAAAAGCATTACTTAACATTTCCATATACAAAACACACAATGCCCCAAGCAGAAGCCTGGGAGTGTACATTGTGGATACTATGTATGTTCTATGATGAGTAACACTAGTACCTACAGGAGACACCCCTTAAGGATAAGTTTGAACCTCTTCACCCATAGTATAAAAACTTTGCACATAATATGAAATACTAAACCAAAACTTGTTCTCTTATAGTGGAAAGAAGAGAAAGAAACGAAAAAGAGACACATACAAGGATGATCAACTCTTAGAGCTCGTCGACGACTTTTGCAACTTCATATTGGACCAGATTGTACACGTCAAAGGCACCTACCATGACCGAGATTCTGACTTAGGTAGAAATCCTCAGTACCAACACCTTCGTAAGACTGAAAGGCTAGCTCTAGACCGTTGATAACAATGTGTATGGAATTTGACATTGATCTTACCTTGTGAGACGGTTTGGACTTGTGAAACGAATTAGACTTGTGAATTATGTTTATTTAATGATAGATTGTATATATTCTTGTGAATTGGACTTGTAATGGTAGTTTATATAATGCTCTTGTGCTTGTGGTCAGATTTGAATTATATATGCATATATACACACATACATATATATATATATATATATATATTTGGTCGAATTTGAATTGTAAATTTAATTTTTTTTGCGGAAAAATATACTATAGGGACGGTTTAGTCTAGAACCGTCCCTTACAGTATATTTTTCCACAAAAAAAATCAAATTTACAATTTAAATTCGACCGCAAATAGGTATTATAGGGGTAATTTGGTACTACGGCCGCCCCTACAAATCGATTTTGTAGAGACGACTGAGAACACCAGCCACCTCTATAAATTGATTTGTAAGGACGGTCTGGGAACCGCCTCTACAAATACATGGTTTATAGAAACGGTATGGTAGGGGCAGCTGATCGAGCCGCCTCTACAAAGCCTCACCAGCCGCCCCTATAAACCATTTCTGTAGTGGGATTCAAGCAATTTTGCAAACCTGATGTGGAACTCTCAAACCACTGCCGTCTCTTCATCAATTGATGGTCCATAAACGGGTAGATTGAAGGCATTGAGTTTTTCCTCCTGCACAAGGCCCTGTTTCATGATATATATAAACTATACCGTAATTCCATTATAAACTTCCGTGCTCATAATACACACGCAAGAAGCCAAATTAATGATAGTGCTAAAAAATTATTGTAATATCGACTCTAATATTTTTTTGAGGGAATATCTATATTTTTATTGCTACAAAGAACTAAAGATATAAACGACGCCTGAGGTTTTCTTCTTATTTTGTAGAGAATTGTAAAATTCACATGTAGGATTAAGAGTGTGGAGCTATCAAAGGCTGAGAGCCTGATATCATCTTGTTTTATGCTTCCAATACAAAGATAATTTTGTACTGCCAATCATTTTCATTCTACTCTATTGTACCTTCTGAACGAGAGACTGAATAGACAATGCAAGTAACCCACAAAGATGGTTCAGATCGCCTTTATACACATCCTCATTCTTCCTTCCAAGAAACGTCAGCACCATCTGCCCACCAAATACAAGTTCTTCATACCGCAGCTTGAGGAAGAGCAGCAAGTCCATTTGGAACAGCTGTTGGTATAGTTTCACCACAGATAACAGTGTTGTATTTGCAATGTAGATGTTTCCTTTGTTTAAGTATGTTTTTGCGTTGACATCTAGCTCACCAGGAAGCTAAACAGAAAAATGCACTAGTTTTTTAGAACATCAACGACAAAAAATTAAGCTGTGAGATATAATGGTAACCAATTTTACCTGAGAGCGCCAATGGAGACAGTAGGACGAGTGAAAGAGATGAACACTTTGGGAAGGGAAAAGCCTGGTGTAGTAGGACCCTGGCAACCCAGCAACATAAAATGGAGGCAGGGTTCCACCCTTGTGCTCCACTGCAACCATCTTCTTGAAGCTTTCAAGTGAACGAAAGATATAGTTGAAGTCGTTTCCGGGTAGATCATTTAGGAAGAATTGGACCTCCAATGAATGGTCACTCATGGCGTTGATAACCTCGAAGACGAAGATGAATGTGTTTTCTCCTAAAGAACAGCCTAAGTCAACAACCACAAGATTTCGAGGGAGCACAATGGAGCATAGTTCTCTCATTGCCTTCTCGATCACTTGTCGAGTCTCGAACAAAGCTTTTCTCTAGCGTGCAGGAAATGGAAAAGGTTAGGAAGAAGAATGAATAGTAGTAATTGATGAACAACTTTGCAAAAGAGAGAATTATGAACAAGATCAGACACAAACTTGAAGCCTGGAGTTGTTGATGTAACTGCTTTCTCCTTCTCCTTTGGCCATATGAAAGTCAGTTTCCGTCTTCATATTTAGAATAGCCTCCAAGAGGTGCAGCTCAGAAGTTAATTATTTTATTTCTTGGAGCACAGATTGCAAATGGAGCTACTAGCAGTATAACCTTCTAGGGCGCTATATATATTTAGAGACAACGTGCTTATCATCCTCTAGGGAGGGAGAATGGGAGACACGGAATTGTATAGTAGCTTTATCTGCTTCAATTGGATGCATGTGCTTAATCACGTGTGACATATATGCAAATACCCTTGTTGTCTATATCGTGTTCTCATAAAAATTGTTGGGTGTGCAATGAATGTTTGGGTCACTCATGGATTCATGTGACTTCCCCATTAGCGCAAGGGTCGATCTTGATGAAGTGGTTACGACCTCGCTGTGGTATGTACCCGCTCTACCTCCCTTTTCCATCAAAATAGTAGACACAAGATGTTTTGGCTGGTTCTAGCCAAGCAATATGTGTCGGCATTCTTATTTATCCCCATTTTGTTTAATTGTTGTGACTTTTCAAAGAGCACGACATATCCTTACTACAAGTTGAAAATATGTAACACTTAAAATTATTATATTTTTCTGTAGAAATCGCAAAATTTGCACATAGCCTTGTTAACTGTAACACCCTAAAATTTGCCACTTTTTAAAATAGGTTCAAAATGATTTATTTGTGAATTTTTGTGCACATGAAAAATAGGAAAATAAAAATTTTCATTAAATTAAAATTCATCATAAGTGTCGGGTTTATAAACCCGGGGTCCCCCGTGGACCGGCTTCCCCGCAAAGGCTCGGCCCAAGCAGACAGCACGCAACTCATAGGCTGGCCCAAGAGTCTAAACAGCAAGCCAGAAGGGCGATCCAATCACCAACCAGAAGGTCTGGCCAAGGAGGAGCAGCGCCCGTTTGTCGACTCCGGCCCACCTCTCCGACCGGAGCGCTCACTTCGGTCTCCAGCCGCCTCCGGAAGGTCTCTCCGACCGGAAGGCCTGGCAAAACACTACCTCCGACTCCTACCCCATGACTCCGACCAGGGGTACGCAAAGACCTTGCTCGCTGCTCTTCTCCGACCGGCGTAACCAGAGCTGATTGGGACCAACCGACCGGGGACGCCCGCTTCGAAAAGATCAGAGAACGGACGGAGAAAGCAAGGCAAGGCGCACAAGTCAAACCATGATATTAGGGGCTGTACCATGTATAACTACAGAAATAGTACTCTACAACCGTCCTGACACAAACAATGTTGTAGGCGCCGATATTTTCCTCTATAGTATTGTGGGCGCCATTAACTTTCATACGGTAAGGTCCCCCACATGCCTCTGGGCATCGACAGTGTTGTGGGCGCCGACATTTACCATACCGAGCGAACATGGTGAAACTCCCCACATGCCTCTGGACATCAATAGTATAGCAGGTACCGACATCTGCCATACCCGAACAAAACGACGCAGCCTCCCACGTGCATCCGACATCCAACAGTATTGTGGACGCCTGCCATCATCCTGTACCGCCGGCATGGGCAACAAGACTTAGAAGCATTCATACTCTCTTCCTCTCACTTGTAAGGCCATCCCCTTTATCTATAAAAGGGATGCGCTCTCTCCTAGAAAACTCAGTCAATCCAGGTCGATTCAAGTGATTTTAGATTCATTAGATCGATCAAGTTCACTAGCTCACAACCATAGAACCGTCAGGTTCGGACATCAAGCACACACTTGAACACTTAGCTCATAGCGGAGATTCTGTCGCTCTCGGCCCTTCCGACCGGAGCCGACCGGATCTCTTGTACACCCCATCTTTCTCCTTCTCATTTGTAACCCCACTGTAAACTTCGAGCACCTGGGCTCAGGAATAAACCCTGTGTCATTGAGTGTTAGGCCACCTCCAATCACAACATACGGCAAAACTACAAATATTTACTTGTTGGTCACTTTCTGCACCGACAATAAGGTTTAGCAACATGTTTGTGATTACATGCCCTTGCATTTGATGTATTTGATTGAGTGGTTTTGATTGAAAATTCAAAATGGTTTAAATTGCTTTTGCAAATACAATTAAAAATGACTTTGACGTAAAAGAAGAGAAAGAAAAGAGAAATTGAAAATAAAAGAATTTAAAAAGTTGTAAAAAATTATTTTTGGGAAGACTTACTAAAATTCCTCATTTTTACTTGAGTTGAAAAAGTATATTTGAAACCCCATTTGAATTTTGCTTTGAAAACAAAACAGGAAAAAAATTGAAAATGGAAACTCACTTTCTCCCTCTCTCCACTACGCCGGCCCGTTCAACTCCATTCGGCACCATGCGGCCCGCTTCCTGCTCCCCACTCGGCCTTTGCTTCCGGCGGCCCATCCCGGTCTCCCTCTCTCACGCTGGCCCAAGTCACCGCGCCGGCCCAGCTTCACAGCTAGCAAGGCCACAGCGTGCCCCTCCTTTCCTTCCGTGCTCACCGATTGTGCCTGGGCCTGCGGGTCAGGTCTTCCTCCTACCTCATGACCCACTCGGACTCTACCGATTTCGTCGTCCGAGTGTCCGTCGCCGCCCCATCCTCCGCCATTGCCTTGCGCGCCACGCCTTTGCCCCTCTTAAATAGCCGCCGCACCAGCGCCGTTTTCACCGAACCCGAGAGTGCTAGCTGCCACCCATACTAAGTCGCAGCGCCATCGACGGATCCCGCCACATGAAGCTTGATGCCGCCGAGCTACCTCGGTCCTCTCCACGCCGCCACAAACCCGCACTCCTCCGCGGGAAGCAGTTAGGTGAGCTCGCCGTTCTCTTCTCCACCTCCCCAATCCTTTCGTTGAAGCAATCGACGCCAGAATCACTGTTCCGGCGAAGCTCTTCTCTGCCATCGTCTTCTCTTTCTGGCGGCCAGCTCTCTCTCTCCCCCGCCGATCCAATCTGAGCCGCTCCTCTCTAATCTCACGGTCTAGATTTCCTCATACCCCTTCGCTGCTAGATTTGCAAAAGAGCCCTTATAAATATTTGAGACTAAAGCTGCGGTCCAAAGCACAATCACAGATTACGTTTTCTTCTTTGAAAAGCGTAGTTTCTTCGGTTTAGATCCAAAATAAGTTTTCACAAATTTTATAGATTTGCCACTGATTTTGTTTTAGCCATAACTTCTCCGTTTTAACTCTGATTTGATCCGTTCAACTTGCGTTAGGTTCGTAATTTCATAATCTACATGTTCATACTACTTTTAGATATGTTTTTAACTTTTAAAATTTGAGGTTAGATTTAATCTATTATTTTAATAAAGGAAATCTTGTTTAATTCATATCTTCAACGTTTTAACACCGTTTTAGTCCATTCAAGTTGCGTTGGATTCGTAATAACATAAACTATGCATTGGTAACAATGTTTATCATATCATTATTTCTGGAATTTCATGGTTTAATTTCTAATTTGAATAATAATTATGCAACTGGGTTTTATAAATAAAATATTATTTGTTTTACTTTAGTATTATGATTCAAACTTAAATTTGACTTAATTTATATTATCTATAAATATCTTATATATGTTTTTATATAATTAAAACACATGAAGCTAATAGTTTTATATTTTCTCCTATGAGCAAATCTTTCGGTAGTTGTATCTTTTCAACCATAGCTCCGATTAGTGTGCTCTTCGCGTCTGTGTGTTCGTAGTGAGACGTAGATTTATTTTACAAACTTTTCATCTTAATTTTATGTTTGGTGTATTGTTATAATTTAGATCTATTGTTTGCTTCGTGTATGATTGCATGAATGTTTGTGTGGTGCTTTATGATCTTGTCCAGTCGGTGAGTTATACGTGGTGAATCAAGAAGCAGATCTTTGAAGTTTTGGACTTGAAGAAGGATCTAAGCTTAAGGAAAGTATAGCATGGGATCTTCCTTGTTGTCATATATACATTTAATCATTTAATTCATACTGCATGTGTCTACCTTGATTGCCATTAAGGATTTCCTAGTGCTTTGTTACCTATGGGGTATTACATTGGGTAGTATGATGCTAGTGCACAATTAAAGACCGTGATCTTGTAACTTGACTAATGGTATATGCAATAAACACTAAAAGATGTTTTTTAGCAACATGGAACAAGGGGGCTAGAGCATTGGGCTATTTTTATGGTGCTCTAGATTCCTCTCCCTAAGGACTTATCTGTAAGTGATCATCCGAGACTACAGTCAACTGTGAGGGCTATATGGCTCTAGCTTTAGCCCAGTATGAGGATCTTTTCTAGCTTGTTAGAGGTTACCTTTATTGGTGTAAGAATGGCTTGTCGAATTAGGTATAGGACAACCTCTACTCTTATGTGTATAGCCATGATGGAATTATGACATTCGACAAGGGGTCCTATATCTGTTTACTGAGTGAATCTAATGGCCCTAACTTGTTAGACGAACCTTTGAAAGGCTTCATAGTGAACCCTGTCAACCTTCCTTAGTAGTGGGTCAAGAGGTTGGCCGCCTCGGGCAAAAGGGTAAATCATGACTCACAGTGAAAGTGTACTACCTCTGCAGAGTGTAAAACTTGTATATCAGCCGTGCTCACGGTCACGAGCGGCCTTAGAACCCTTACGGAATAGATGATGAACACTAATGATACGGATGATGAAGATGCTCGTTAATGATTACTGTTTATGCTATTCATTATTCATGTTTACCTGATCATGTGTTTATGTGGGCTTGTGAATAAACTTGTTGCCACCCAATTGCTAAAAGATGACTCATTAAAAGCTAATTACAGTTAAACTAGTGTCAGCCTTTTGAGCCTCATGAACCCCATGTTATATTTGTTGAGTACGACATGTACTTA